CATTCTTCCACATCCAGACAGATTTGCAAAGCTGAAAGTCTTTCAGAAAATTGGAACATTGTAGGCAAAACACAAAATTGGCAGAGCTGCTCAAAGGAGTTTGCAGTTTGCCTGTGATTACTTCATTTAACATTACAATGATTCCATGACAGTCAAACATCAGGCGCTCAATCTTTAAAATTCAAATTATGTAAAATGATAATTTCTAGGAAGTCGGACAATTACCAGAACTGCTGAATTAAAATCTCCTAACTGCATTACTTACTACAGGATTGGTAAAATTTTTGTGTTGTTCAACTGAAGTAACTTACAGGAAGCTTTAACACTGAGCTATGTAAGATATTCAACTCATGCCAGGAAAATTTTATGTTTCGTAATATTGTAGGGTCAGCAGAAAGAAAAATCATAACTCCAGTAAAATTAAAAATCTCAGACGAGGTTTCCGAAATGAGATTATTCTGGCAAACATCCTTCTCAGAGTTTTTTTACCCGTGTTAACTCATTCAGCAGTTATCAGCGTTTTCTCATCTCTGTTTCAACAGCAAAACCCAGAAAAGACCTCTTAAGAAAAAGTTAAAAATACACAAGTATTTCCCAGTTACCTGTCTTGCCATTAAGTGTGTTAAGAACTGAAGCCCTCCGCCACCGAGAACCCTTAACGAACATTCAGAGCTGCAAACCCTCAGTCATGACTAACCCGAAAGAGCAGACCGTTGTAAAATGTTAAAGAACTATAAGTAGATGGAGAATTTATAGCTTCATTATGTCACTAGTTACAGACGCACTTGTTATTTTTGAGAAACTTGAATGAGAGCCTCTCGACGAAAAGAACATGAAAGAAAAGGAACACGATGATCCCCCACCACCGCGAATAAAGCGGCAAACACAGTAGATGCCAGCGAGGACGTCAGAGCCGGTCCCGCTCCCCAGGGCCAGGCCCGGGGACACCCCGAGGGCTGACGGGTCGCCCGGCCCCGCCGGCGGCCGCAGACCTACCTCGGCAGCCGCGCTGGACGCTGACGGGATGGGCAGCAGTTTCTCTGGCTCTTTCTCTTTCTCCCCTTCTTCCTCCTGTTCCTCCGCACACCCGCCGCCCTCCTCGGCTGACGGGGGCTCCGCGCTGCCCTGGTTCAGCTCCGCGCCCGGCGGTAGCTCCGCGCCCGGGTCGGGGGCTAGGTCGGCAGCAGCCGTGGCCGCCGGCGGGCTCTGCAGCGACATGGCCCCGCTGCCCTCTGTTCACGGCAGCCACTCAACTCCCGCCGGACACCCGAGCCCTCTTCCTCTTCTCCTCCCTCTGGCCGCCGGCTCCGAGGAGCCCCCGCAGGCACTCCCTGCACCACCGCCGCTCGGCTCGGCGCGGGGCCGCCGCGGCAATGCAGCAGCCGCGCTGCTCCCGGGCGCTCAGACACCCCCGCGCGGCGGGGCGGAGCGCAGCCCTGCCGCCCCCGCCGCGGCCCGGAGAGGAGAGGGAGCGCGGGATGCACGGAGCGGAGGCGGCCGGCGCCGCCGGACAGCGCTGCCCTAGCGCCCCCTCAACCACCGCGCCACCTACAGACCGCGGGCGGGAAAAGGGGCCGCCGCCGCCATATTGTTTATAGGCGGCTCATAGAAACGCGCTTGGCGACCTGGGGCGCCGCGCGGGGGCAGCGGAGGACACGGCTACGGAAACTCCGTAGCGCAGGAAGAGCCGCGGTGCCCGCCGGGCGTAAATCGGCGGGAGCTGACCGCCGAGCTCTGCGCAGCCGCTGCAACCGCGGCGCCACGGGGTTGGCCCGGGTTGGGGCACCGCTAGGGGCGCCCTGCGGCACCTACCTCCTGCACCCCGGTAACGGTGCTTCTGCCAGCAGGGATCGGCCGCCTCCCAGTGAAGTCGTGCGAGTGGGCTCCTGCGGAGCGAGGCGGGGGGGCAAGCCGGTCATGGCAACACGCAAATACAAGAGTAGAATAGAACACTGCGGTGAAAGCACCTCGGTGTGGGGACCGGCGGGACACTCCCGCTCCTCCTTCACACTGGGCCAGGGTTGCGTGTTGCATCGCTGGCAGGGACTGTGCCATTAGTGACACCTCACCCCATCACCTCGTGGTACTTTCATCATGGCTTCAAGTCATGCTCCGACAGGGAAAATACAGACGTGAAGTGAAAAACCCTAGTCCTGGCTGTTCCACTGGCAAAGCCAGAGTGGTGCCAGGGCCTGTGCAATGGTGGCAGGTCCTGGCCCTTCATTTGGTCAGGTCTTGGGAACCCACTGTCAGAGCCCAGGCTTGCCAAAGCTTTGCCGTAATAATATATATTAAAAAATCGTCTTCACAAGGTGGGATGTATTGAACTGCTTGCAATACAACAACCAGACTAGATGTAATGCAGCATTTGTCTGTGGGTACTGACCTACCACTTGGCTGGGTATGTACAGGTATGGGAGTCCTTCTGTGTGTCAGGGTTGCAATGCTTGTGTATGCTAAGCTACAGAATATTTAAACCCTTTAAACCATTCTCTGCCAGATGAAACAAGTTTCTCTCAGGCCACTGTAATTTTGTGTCTGGAGAAGAATTCCCCTCCCAGCTTCAAGATCAAAGGAGTGTGAATAGCATTACAGACCACTTGAAACAAGCTCCAAAATTGTTTTTCAGATATAGATGAAGCCACATGATGGCTTTTCTCAGTATTGGCATTACACAAGTAAGCTCCTGCAGATTGGAGCTGTGGTAAAGATCTTTGTAAACTGCATAAAAGCAAGGGCATAATAGGTACTGCAGAGTTAATCTAACACATAGAAAAATGCTTTCCTTTTTTGAGGGAACTGGCAGACCTGGAGTTTATTAGGTTTCATTAAGAAATCACTTTGTCTTCTTACAAATTAAATACGAGAGCTGGTTTTCCAAGAAGTTCAGTCCTCACTGTGCTTACTTCTCAGTTGCTCTCAGTGCTTTGCATGAATAAGTGACCTGCTGTACTTAAACAAAGCCCTCCAAACACTCACTCATCTTTTTCCTTTCCATGCCAAGAAATAACATAATGATAGTAATTGCAATGACTTGAGTACAAGCAGCTATACATCCAGTGGCAGTCCCCAACTGGAAGTAATTGGCACAGCTGTTCGGTGGAGCTGTGCCAGTTTGAAACATGGAAGGATCTGCTCCCTTGAGCCTCAGAGAGAGATGAAGCAAAGAGACAGATGAAGCAAAGATGAAGCAAGTGTACAGATGAATTCATAATGCTTCTTTTTTTTTTCTTTTTAATTCCAATAAGCAATAAAGGCCTGATTTTTGATAGCATCAAAATGCCTTTCTAGCAAGATTATTTCACAAAAAGCTAACGCATCATCAAAGACATCAGTTTTTACTGTCCATAATGTCTTGTGCTATTTGAAGTAGAAGTAGTATGTTGAATTAAACTAATTCAGGTATTTTGACCCATGACAATTACGAAAATAAGCAAAAAAGTGCTGTTAAATTTTTTCCTCCTATTTTTATAAGAGAGCAGAAAGACCACATACTGAAAGAAATGAATGCATTTTCCTACTTCTAACAAAGGTAGCATGCCTCTGGTGCCTAGGGTTTGTAGCTAAAAATATTTCAATTTAATTTATAGATCCACAAGGCAGTCAAAGATGTAACCACAGCTGGGAAAGGCATGTCTAAACTGGCTTTCAATCTGCTAGCGCAGCTGGATGCTAGCTGGGTGCAGCAGTGCTACATGTAATGAGGCAATGCACATAAACCCTGCAATCATTTGTTGCCAAAGTGATAAACCAGGGTAGCGGCCAATGGAGAAGTCAGAAAAATAGGATAAAGATAGTCTGTCTTCTAACAGAAAAGGTTTGTGGGATATACAACATATTGAAATATTAAACGGATATGCAACTGCCATTTTACAAGACTTCATCAGTATTTTTGGCCAGACGGCCTGGGAGCTTTGACAAAGGGTCACTCACACTCAATGTCTTTTTGAAAGTGCAGGCTTTTTGTTTGCATCACCTTTCATAATAGTTCCAGTTCTTTCTTTGAGGCTAATAATGCTTTTGCTTACCTCGGTCGTTGCTTTTCCACCTCCAACTGTTACTGTATTCCCTACTTTATCCTTACAAGGACTCTTTCCTTTATTTTTTGTTTTTAATCTCTTCTGAGCTGCTTAAAAATCTTAAATCATGTGGTGCCAGCTAGTTCACAGTATTTTTTGGTGAGTGGGGGAAAGGTGAAGTTCAACCTAAACCTGTTTCTCATGCTCCCTGGGCCTACACATCCACATGGGTTCCTGGATGAGATTGCAGCCTGTGCTGGACCCCTCACTGTCATGCCATGCTACTGTCTCAGATAAGCATAAGTACACCCCTGAATGACTAGAGAAGGAAGTGCAGGCTGTACGTGACCCTAAACGTATTTTCTTGTACTTATGGGAGCACAGTTCTGCTTTAGCAGGGTGTTGATCCTTTCAACCAGAACAAAACCTTCCTGAGAGCTTATTTTAAAACCATTCACAAATATGTTTCTTCTATTCCAAAGAGTTTGAGTTGTCAGGAAGGGGAAGCAGTCAGTGGCACATCTCTGTGCAATGACGTGGCCAGGCGCAGACCGCCACAGATGGAAACAAACCAAATGCTAACATTTTTTCACAAATGATTAGTAAATGCTTACAAGTAATAGACACACTCACAGAGACTGGCATTTGGGAGTGATGCACCAATGAAAAAAAATAAAAAGGGCTAAATTCCCTGGCTAGTATTTTCATGACAAATAATTGAGTGTACCTCACACGTTCCTCTGCAGTCAGAAGTCAAAATGCAGCCATAGTCAAAATCAGACCTGGTTTAATTCAGTGGTTTTGGCCCATTACGGGTTTTTCCCTGGCCCTCAGATGCTTTACTAGTGATTGCAGTCAAAGAGTGTCAAAAATCCCTGGTGCAAAGTGGCATTTCAGGAACTGAAGTGACTTGTGTCCTTGAGAAAAGGTAGTCTGAGTTTCCTGTTCAGTTGATGATACACTTTCATCTTGCAGCAACACTGTGTCTCTCTTTTATCAAGTAGTACCGTTTCTTTCTCTTTGTACTGTTTAAACATCTTGTGCACTTCCCTGTACAAAATATTTGGGCTATTTAACAGATGTGTGCTTTGTGAGATGGACCCTCAGTGGGCCCAAGGGGAAGCACAGGATGGCTGAAATGTTGAAAGAACCAGCAATGGCTGAAGACAACCCATTTTCTCTCTATGGGAGTAGGAGAGATTAGATGGTTGGGAGTTTTCCAATACAACAGGTTTTCAGCAAAACATTTCAGTTTCACAGAAAGACCTGATTCATTGAACTGGAAATGTTTTACAAAGAAGCATCTTTTACAATGACCTTTTAGCAGAACTCAGGCAAGATGCCACTGAAATCCACCTGTTTACTCATCCAACTCAGTTGGAGAGCTTGTCACATTTGTGAATCAGAGACCGCATAACTTCTGGACTCCCTGGTCAGCTAATGCCCAAGCTGCTCTACCCTTCTGTGTGCCACCTGCACACATCACCCATTAGGGAAGATGGAAATTCATGTCTGCCCACAAGTCATGAGTGTTCTGAGTATGCATAGCCTCAGAGCTTGTAAGGGGTGACCCCAGCCTTGTTCAACCTCCCCTGCTGGGAGCTACCCAGTTCCCTTGAAGCTGGACTAAGGTATAAATTTGGGAAGTTTTGTCCTAAAGAATCCAAATGATTGTGAATCCACTTACCACTGCTGACAAGCTAGCCCAATTATGTTTATTATTCTTGCTAGGAATAGGAAATTATGCAAAAGTTGAGCTTGTCTCACTGTCTTTCAGTCCTTGGATCAGATGCCTTCTTATGTTCCTGAAAATGTCCCTCTTTTTCAGGAGCACATGTGCAAGGTGCACTCAAACTCTCCTGAGCTAGGTCCACATTATTTCCCCTATGACTAACATTAGATTAATTAATCTATAGCTCTCTCTGTATAATCTATATATACTTACCCTTTGGCTGTCCTCCAGTACTTGGAAAGCCCCATTTTTTAAAGAGTTTATAAACATTTAGAAAAGTGGTTCAAAGGACTCCTCAGCTAATTCACCAGAGGCACTTACATGCAAGTTACCTAGCTGTTATTTTGTCTTGGCAGATACTCAATTACATCTTTCTGTTTGGCAAATGGTAAACTGTTGATTGAATGTACATCATTAGCTGGGAAGCATCCTGCTTGGGCATTCCTAGTACAGAGAAGGAAAAGGTAATCAGAGGTAATCAGCAGTTATATCTTATCTGCATCATAATACTTGCACTTTGGGTTCCTTGTCATTGCTGACTGCTGCAATACAGCATCTGTGCCAAGTAACTTAAGCGGCTTATGGACATTGATGCCTAGGCAAGAGCTTAATTTTTATGTTAGTAATTGGCTCTTTTTTGTTTGCTTGAATAAGCTTGCCATGGAACGGGAACTTTGGGTTGAAAGAAATCATTATACTCTAATTTAGAAACACTGGCTATTTTAGTGATGCCCAGAGTGAGGTTATCTGTGATAATGCAGTGTATGCAAAGACTGGAAGGCAGTCACAGCAAGAGGAAAATTCACCAAGTGAAGAGAATTAGCATAGTGACCACACAACATTTACTGAGATCTCCATTTCTTCTCTCCAGAAAGTTGGTGTTTATTTTTCTATCTTTAAACTTCAGTTAATTTCTCTTAAACTCTTATAAGATACATCAGTAGCATGATCTGCCCCGAGATATAGCAAAGGACAAAAGTTAAGGGTAGGAAATAACCCTCTATCTTTGTCATGTCTGATCGGGAAATTATTTTTAAGTGAGGTAGAGGCAGATATTACATACAGAGTTTTGTCCAATTTCTATTCAAACTGGAAATAAGAAACAAGTATGCCATGCTAAAGAAGGTTCAAATGAGGAGGCAGTATGTAACTGTCATGGTGTAAGCCCAGCTGGTTAAGTACCACAGAGCCACAAGGTCACTCTCTCTCACCTCCCACTCCACCCCAGATGGCATGAGGAGAAGACTTGGGAAAAGATAAAACCTACAGGTTGAGATAAGAACTGTTCAATAGTTGAAATAAAGTAATTAGTAACAATAATAGGAAATACAGAGGGAGAGGAATAAACCCCAAGAAAACCAAGTCATGCACAATACAGCTGCTCATCACCTGCTTGCCAATGCCCATCCCATCCCTGAGCAGCAATTAGTTGCTTCCAGGTGACTCCCCCCAGTTTGTATATTGGGCATGATGTGCTGTAGTATGGAATACTCCTTTAGCTAGTTTGGGTCAGGTGTCCTCTCTCTGCTTCCTGCTGGCTTCTTGTGCCTCTTCTCACTGGGAGAGCATGAGAGACTGGAAAGTCCTTAAGTCAGCAGTACTTAGCAAGAACTAAAACATAGGTGTGTCATCAGCATTGTTCTCAGCCGAACACAGGAGGGTACCAGCTACTAAGAAAGAAAAATTAAATCTATCCAGGTGAAACCAGGACAATAATGTTTAATTCAGAAAGTTGCTTCTGTACCTGTGTCATCATGTGACCCATAAAATTGTAAACCGCTGACAGAATTAACGTTTCTGTTTAGCATGGGTTTGTAATTCTTAAAAAAAAATGCCCAGTTGCTTTAAAAAGAGAACATTCTTGGACTGAAGTGACAGCGAGGGATAATGTGTAATTCCAAGATGCTTCGCTTGCGTAGGCAGCGGGAGGGTACTGGCGGCGGCGGTAGCCGGGGCTGCAGCTCCCTCCAGCGCCAGTCCGGCACCGCGCACGGAAGCGCTCCTGATGCCTAGCGTTCGAAACTGCTCATTAGCTCACAGACGTGTTTGACGTCGCAGAAATTCGTAGATTTTGAGCTTTAGAGATAATAAATACGGGATCAGATCGTTTATACAATAATTTGTATGTGTATCCAGGGAACTGATAGAGAAAATGGCAGTCAAAATTAATCTCTTATGTTAGTTTGGGCAGGAGTAAGAGCTGGATGTTTGAAGACTGTTGAGAATTTTACATCTTTTACGAAGTATGTGGTATTCCCTTTGTAATGCCTAAAGCAGACAGGCATCCCTGTGTTGTGCAGTGTAGATTCCAGTGGAACACCCTGAGCAACTGGCACATCGCTGCAGACAGGTTGCTCCAGTGCGAGTCACACTGATGTACTCCCCAAGGGACTTCTGAAAAAAATCCACCAATGTAAGTAGGATCTGGATATGTCTTACAGGTACTGGCTGGCTTCTTTTGCATAAATACTCATACTCACTCATAACTTGTTCCTTCCTAAACTATTCTAGTAAAACCTCCTTGTCCAACATCGACAATAAAAACCTCCACTCGGTATGTGTGGAACAAAAAGAGTGATGCAAACACAACTAATGTCATGGTGACTTAATTGTCTTAATAAATGAACAAATAATGCTGTTTTGTCATCTTCATAGGAAATGTCCACAAAGTGTTTAATAATAACATTTTCTGCCCTTGCCCCACACAGAATCATTGTATAAAGAAAAGATACCCACCACAGTGTTTGACTCTAGTGGTGGAGACTTTATAAAAAGCATAGCATTGGTCTAGATAATAGCATTGGTATGTCTGTATTCTTCCTGAATAATTCCCTTTTAAGACACGTTTTCCTTTTGTACTTTTCTTGCACAAAGGATCCTCACCTCTACGTAATCTGTAATAGGGTCATGCTCACTGGAGTCCCTGAGACACATAGTAAGGCAGCAGAGAATACTATAGTTACAAAATACTTCTCATATAGAAGCAAGAGATATTAAAACAGCTGTACCAGGTCCCTGTATAAATTACCGCAAGTTTTTAAAGTGAAAACTCTGTCTACTGGTGATAAATCTGGAAGCATTTTTCTTGAGACTGCCTTCTGCTCTGGCTTTGTTGGCCAGTGCTGGTAGCATGAGCAGGACATCACTTTCCTTTTCAATCTGATTGACAAAATAGGCTCATCCTGGTCTTCTACACTGCACTGATCCACCTGACCTCTCTGGAAAAAGAAGAGGGGCAGAGAAAAACTTTGCAGAACTTCCTGTGAACCCTCTGTCCAGCAGAAGAAGCATTAAGATGCGCGTAGATCCTTCCCATGCTGCAAAACCTGAATAGGGTTGATCAGGCATGCCCACTCTGGCAGGGTGCATAGGGGAAGCCAGGTGAGGATTGCCCTACTCCCTCCAAAGGGCTGAGCTGGTGCTTACAGCACAGTCTTCCACATTTTCAGCTGATATTGTGGAATTTGCTGTTATTGAGTATAGAGGTGTCCGATTTGCTGAAGAAAAGCTTTTCAGGAGTACAGCCTCCTTCCTAAGACACTGGTGCCAAGCTATAATGTCATTTGTATTCAGCCAAGTAGTTCTATTTATAATAACCTTTCAAGTGACCCAATCGTACACTTGGTAAAGCACTTCTAAAGAAGGAGATTACTTTCTATCTTTTCAGGGTATGAAGTAGTGTACTATATAAATACTGCAGCTTAACTACTGTCTACTTTGAATGTCAGTTAGGATCAGGTAGTGTTTATACACTCCTAAATTTTAGCAGTTTTTATTCAGGACTTTTCAAATTTGCATCAAGCTGAAACTTGGCATGTAAGCTGTCAGCACAGATGCTAGTTTTATTCCAAAAATAGACTAAATTAAAGCTTTTTAAGGTGTCAAATGGATTATTTATGCAGTGGTTGCAGATGCTTTAGTTTTCTGGCTCTTTCAACTATACAAAAGCTTACTGTGTCACCTCCCTCCCTCTTCCATTCTCCAACATAACAGTTCTGAACAGTGAGGAATAAGAAGACAAGTGATGACACTGGAGTAGTAATCCAGAGATGGTATGCCCTAGAAACAGGCATAAGTAACAGTCATTTTTGGTGAAACAAAACTATCCTCTTTGAGTCACCATAAAGAAAAAAAAATCAGAAGACATCTGAAGTGTTATGACACCAAATGATGAGATATTGTTTGACAGCCCAGTGAAAGGGAAGACAAAATCCTCCGTACTGTGGTGGTTCCCTGTCGATCCCATTTAGACAAGCAAGAATCTTTTTGCAGGGATTACTGCAGAGGACAGCTCTAAATCCACCATGATATTTATTGAGTATGTGTATTAAAGTCTAAGGCACCACAATTCAGAAAACTTATCTTCAGTACACTGGTTGAATGGCAAAAAAATTGCCCCCATAGAATAAACCAAACCACAGGTGATTCCATTTGCTCCATTTTGCACAGGCAAAGAAGTGCCTGCTGCCGTATCCTGATAATAACCCTGAGCTCTGGTAGACTAGAAAACAAAACCCGGAGATTGTAAAACACAGGGCCTTTCTTGCAGAATGTCCTGCCAACACCTTCAGCAGAGGGCAGACTGATGTAAACACAATCTGCCCTTGTATACTTATTATATGCATATATACTCATACACACATAGAATCATAGAATCGGGTTGGAAAGGACCCTATTCCAAAGGAGGGGATCGTCTAGTTCCAACCCCCCTACCATGGGCAGGAACACCTCACACTAAACCATGTTACCCAAGGCTCTGTCCAAACTGGCCTTGAACACCACCACAGATGGAGCATTCACAGCTTACCTCAGCAGCCCATTCCAGTGCCTAACCACCCTTACAGTAAAGAACTTCCTCCTTATATCCAATCTAAACTTCCCCTGTTTGAGTTTTAACCCATTACCCCTTGTTCTGTCACTAGAGTCCCTAATGAAGAGTCCCTCCCCAGCACCCTGATAGGCCCCCTTCAGATACTGGAAGGCTGCTATGAGGTCTCCACGCAGCCTTCTCTTCTCCAGGCTGAACAGCCCCAACTTTCTCAGCCTGTCTTCATACGGGAGGTGCTCCAGCCCCCTGATCATACTTATTTGCAAGCATATTTAAGTATAGTGTCTCATATTATAATATGTAGGGTTTTGTTAATTTTCTAAGTTTTAAGAATACTTACAGGATGCAAAGATTGTGATCAGGTTTCACCTGAACTTACTCATTTAACATGATCTTTAAATTCATAGTTGTACTTCTTCCAGTGAACAATTTACTCTTGGTAGAAGGACTTGTGCCAGTATGAGTTAATGTGCATGACTACTTTATTCTATCCCCCTTGGGGAGGCATGCTCCATCTGTTTGTAAAACAAAGAGAATGGTTACAGACAAATATTTTTAAGTTTAGATACTTTCATTCCACTGAAACCAACCTGACCTATGTATGAATAAAAACCAG